TGAAGGACATCCGGATCGCTTCAAGATATCAAGCAGCCTTGGACTTTCTCTCTTTCTGCGATTCGAGCGACACAGGAGGATAGAAGATTTGGAGGAGGCAGTCGAGCTTCATCGTGCTGGTCTGGAATTATGCCCAGATGACCAATTTCATCTTTCTATGTGTTTGGAAGTTTTAGCGAATGCTCTGGTAGCTCGCTTTCAATGGCGTGGACAGACCACAGATCTCGATGAAGCCATCGAGCTTTATCGTGCTTCTCTGAAGCTTCGCTCCGGCGGGCATCCCTTTAATTCCAAGACTCTAAACAACCTCGCAGTTTCCCTTCAAATCCGATTTGAGCAGCACGGACGTGCCACAGACATTGACGAGGCTATCGGGCATCATCGGACAGTCCTCTTATTTTGTCCTGACAGCCATCCCGAACGACCTGCGTCTCTGAATAATCTTGCAAATGCCCTTCGTACTCGATTCGAATATAATGGGCGGATCGCAGACCTTGATGAATCCATCGAGTATCGTTATGCTGTCCTGAGACTGTGCCCCGATGACCATCCTGATCGCCCCATGTATCTAACCAACTTTGCAATTTCACTCCGAACTCGATTTATCCAGCATGGACGGACCGCGGACCTCGATGATGCCATCGATCATGTTCGTACCGCCTTACGACTTTACCCTGATAGCCACCCAAACCGTTCCACTCCTCTAAGTTGCCTTGCATCGTTCCTTCGAACCCGCTTTGAACAGTATGGACAGAGCAAGGATCTTGATGAAGTCATTGAGCATCACCGTACTGCCCTAAAACTTTGCCCTGTCGGCCATCACGATCATTCTTTGTCACTGAATAATCTTGCAGCTGCCCTTCAAATTCGTTTTCAACAGCGTGAACTGACCGCGGACCTCGATGAGGCCATCGATCATGTCCGTCTTGCCTTGCTTCTTTGTCCCGATGACCATCCGGAACGTGGCATATTTCTGACTAATCTCGCAGACGCCCTGCTAGCTCGATTTAAACAGCATGGACGGAACACAGACCTTAATGAGGCCATTTCGCATCGCCGCACTGCCCTACAACTCTGCCCCGTCAACCATTCTTTATCTCTATATAACCTTGCAACTGCCCTCATGACTCAATTTGAACAGCACGGACGACCTGGAGGCTTTGACGAGTCTTCTGAGCTTCATTGCGCTGTCCCGCAACTTCGGCCCGATAGTCATCTTGACCACTCTACGTCTCCGAGTAACTTGGGTTCATCATCGCTCTCTTGCGTCGATAGGTTTGGGCTCACAGACAGTTTTGAAGAGTGTATGCAATTATTCGAACGTGCTGCCGAACATGAGTTTTCTAGCTTGGTGATACGCCTTAGGATCGCCAGGCAATGGGCTAACTTTGCTCGGAGTCATGCTCACCATACTACTCCTAGAGCTTACAAGGCAGCAATGAGCCTCTTGCAACAGATCCTCATTATTAGTCCCACACTTCTCGCACAGCACGACGTCCTCACGGGGAAAAACAAATGTGGAACACTTGCACTAGACGCGGTAGCTTTTGCTATAGAGATAAACAGGCTTGAAGAGGCTGTAGAGACACTTGAGCAAGGAAGGTGTTTACTCTGGTCGCAGATGCGTGGCTTTAGGACACCTCTAGATCGCCTATCAGAAATAAACGGAAAGCTTGCTGACAGGTTTAGGAATGTTAGTCAGCAGCTGGAGAGTCTTACAACATCATCTAACGGATTGCAGTCTGGTCCAAGCACGGCTGGAAGCAGGTCATTTATACTGGATGTGCATAGAGAACGGGAACTGTTCGAGGAGAAGCTTAAGCTGAAGAAGCAACTCTCAAGTGAGCAGAAGGATGCTATTTCCGAGATACGCCGAGTCCCTGGCTTTGAAAACTTTCTGACAGCTACACCGTTCAAAATACTCCAGCAGGCAGCTTCAGAGGGTCCGGTGATTGTAGTCAACCATAGCAGATATCGGTCCGATGCACTCATTGTCCTCCCACGCAAAGATGTAGCAGTTGTCTGTGTCCCATTAGATGGAGAATTTGGCAACGACAGCATTAAGCTGTGTATTGAACTCTTGGAAACACGGGCACATTCCAAAGCTTCTTCATTAGAATATGACAAGATACTCCGCCGAGTAAAGAAGATGTTATGGGATAGAGTTGTCTCCAAAGTCGTCAAGAAGCTTGAGGAGCTGGGGATTCCCAGAGGATCACGCATATGGTGGTGCCCTACGTTTGGACTTTCTGCTTTTCCTTTCTACGCAGCAGGACCCTTTGAGGATGCAAACGGCACTGTGAAGTATTTATTGGATGACTATGTGTCATCGTATACTCCGACACTCGGAGCTCTCATCAATGCGCGGTCAAGGGAGAATATTAATATTGGTAAACCTACAATGCTTATTGTTGGCGACACAGTAACGCTTGGGTCTACTGAAGCTGAAGTTCGTGCTGTTCAAAAGAACACCTCAAATTATGTCTCATCTCACAGAGTCCTTCTAAATGAGAAAGCAAATCGCGAGAAAGTGCTGAAGCATCTGCAGAAAGCAACATGGATCCACTTTGCTTGCCACGGGCATCTGGGGCGTGGATCACTTGACTCTTCTTTCCGGCTCTCTGACGGCGGATTGACATTACTCGATATCATCCGAGCTAACCTCCCGAACGCGGAGTTTGCATTCCTCTCTGCTTGCCACACTGCTGAACAGGATATATGTAGCTTGTATGATGAAATCCTTCATTTAGCTGCTGCTATACAATTCAGTAGGTTTCGAAGCATGATTGGGACAATGTGGGAGCTATTCGATCCGGATGGCCCTCTGCTTGCAAAAGAGGTTTATTCATACATGGGAGGGTATGAAGACGGTGAAGTGATACATAAGCGGTCCGCAGCCGCGCTTCGTAGAGCTGTTTTGAAATTGAGGGAGGAGGGTGGTGTCATGACGGAGCAATGGGTTAACTTGGTACACATTGGTGCTTGATTGATGTATGCAGTCATGCTTCATCCGTAGAGTGCTGATCTGTTGGACTGGAGTGTTTAGTTCTTCTCATTTTTCAGAACAGCTATTCTATGATGGTCTCCGCTGTCCTTGACCTGTTTCCTGTCTCGGATTAAATAATGGATCGTAGTTTGTAGGACATAATTGTATGACAGTACCGGACAGATAGATACTATCCTTTCTGTAACTCCATTCATTGCGATGTAATGCGTCCTCTCCCAGAAACTAGGTACGTTATCTATTGCTGTCAACAAGTCGAGAAAACAGGATGGTAAACAGCAAATCAATACGACAATCCAAAGTGACATCATGTACCTCGTCACCTCTACTCATGAAATTCGGTGATCCACCTGGAACCTATCCTATGCAAGTTTCATTCTGCACGTGGCCCGATTCCTTGTATTCAAGGAACGCTCAGCAGCTTCGAGTGTTACAGCTCACATCTCCGTTAAAAGCGACATCTTCTTAGTTGGAACTTGGTGGGCCTCCCGTCGCTGTCACCTGACTTCCTATTTAGGGCTCGGTACCGTACCGTATACGGATACGGGCCGTATTATACGACCCTTATACGGATACGGCTCGTATAATACGGTGCCGTATTTCTGAACCCGAAAACCTATACGGATACGGTACAGCCGTATACGGAACGTATACGCCATATACGGATACGGCGTAGTTGCTACATTTACCAAGGTGTAGCATGAAATGTAAGGGGCTACATCATTGTGATATTACCTCTTTAGTATAGAAATATTGAATTCTACCTATATTATGCCTTAATCTACATGAAATGTATAAAATTTGACTTATTGACATTTTGTTATGTAATTTAGTCTGTGATATTTGTCATAAAGTCGAGTCATGTGATGTACCTATATATCGGAATATATATCAGATTGCACATATTTTTACAATAATAGTGCTGAATATATTAGTAAATGCTAGTATAAGTGTCTGAACATTGAATACTACTTATTAGAGCTTCAGTATTATGTTTAGAGCAAGAGTTCCTATTATGAGATGATTAGTTTATTAACAGACAAACTACAAGACAATGACTTCATAATGTCTCAGTTAGAATACATACAATATAAGGACAAGAGACACTGAGTAGTCAATTGTCACCTCACTCCTTGTCTATGTGTGCCCCCCTTAAGTTTTCCCTTTTAACAGGTTATGAGCCTTGAGCTCCCTGTATACACACATCTACTGTACACTCTAAACCCTTTACTTGTATACATTTGCACACATTTGCATCATGGTTCCCTCACATATGGATACATACTGTAAACCAGCCAATGTACCTAAATACTTTGGTCAAAACATTACAATGCTTAAGACTAAAGTGAACTACAAGATGTGGCACTACTGTATTGTTTCTAGTGTTACAGTTATGTACTTTGAACACTTACTAAAGGATGAACTGTAGAACAAAGCCAAGAGAGAGATGGCTAAGACTATTCATACATACATAGTTAATAACATTGCTGACACAATATTGGCAAACTATATACACTTTAATATGTCTATCCCTCAGTTAATGAAAGTGCTTAAAGAATGCTTTAACTCTTAGACAGTATGTAAAAAGGCTATCAACAAATCAGCACTGTTTATTTGTAGAGACTATGTAAAACATTTTGGACATACATTAGACAGACTTGAGGAAGCATATGTAACTCTGTCTACTAACAGTGATCCACCATACAACTCTACATACAAAGCAGCAATATTGCTTACTACTCCTAAGCAATATACACACATAGTAAATATAATAATACAATCTACTGATGCCTAAAACAAAGGCAAACCAGTTGATGAACATAAGAAAGTCAAACTAAAGCAACTAATCCTTGTATTATAGAATGCCTACAATGATTACTATACTAAATGAGTACAAGATTCTAATGATTGGACAAAGAATAATGTACACACTAATACAATGTATAAAGCTAATAAGTAGAGGAAATTCAATCTGCCAAATCTGTTCAATCCAACAAAAGCAAAATGTTTCAATTGTGGAAAAACAGGACATTTCTCTAAGGAATGCTATAAACCTCCTACTGAAGCTATAAAGCTTGCCTACACCAAACATCAAGCTAACATTGTGTATAAAACAAACCAAACTGTGGAAAACATGACAAACACATTTATTATTGAAAACCCAAACAAAAACAACATTGAATTAAAGGAAGGTAATGTTGAAATGAATAATAATACTTATACTCTTATTCTGAGCAACCAGGACAAACAATTCAAACAATATACTTTCTGAGTATGTACCAACATATTTACAAATACAATCATAGCTAACAAGAAATCCTATATGTAAACAATAGATTTACTTGATTCTGGTGTATCAATACATACTACTCCTTATCTATTTCGATTAACAGATGTACACAACATAACTCCTACAATTGTAACTATTGCAAATAGATTAACAATGACTCTTAATTGAGCTAGATCTATGCATATTGAAATCCTGAAGAATATACAAGAAAGAAGTGTCATAACATTACAAAACGTTTATTACTATCTACAAATGAACTTTTCCCTCATAAGTCAAGTGCTACTATGTAGGGAAGGTTATTATTTTATGTTTACAAACAATAATTGTATTATAACATCACTATGTAATGAATATGTCAGACATATACAATTGAGAAATAACTTGTATATTTTGTACAATAATCATTTGTTAAAAATGATGAACAAACTATCTATTTATAATATACATAAATGCCTCAGACATATAAGTTATGATTATATTAAACAATTATTAAAGACACAACCAAGTGTACTATCAACTAAAATAATGAACTATAAAGAAAAAGAATGTATTGAATGTATAAAAGCAAATATCAAACATACACCAATACCAAAACTACATTAATCTCCTCTTGCAAATCAATTTGGAGATCTTATTCATATTGATATTATTGGTCCTATTAAACCACACACATATAAGAACATATGCTACTTATTAATGATTGTAGACAATTCTACTCATTAGTGTATAATGCTCAAATTACAAACAAAATCCAATACATATACACAATATGTATAATGGACAATCAAAATATTTACATAGTACAGAGTTAAAATAAAGCTTTTACAAAGTGATAACAATACTGTATTCCTTAGTGAAGATTTCCAACAATATTTAGATTCACAAGGAACAAAATGAAGATTAACAGTACATCATACTCTGTAACAGAATGGAATAGTGGAACAAACTCATAAAACTATATTTAGAGGTGTAAGAGCATATCTAACATCTACTAAATTACTGTTTACATTATAGGCCAAAGTAGCAATTCATATTACTTATATTCATAATAGAACACTGTGTACTACTTTAAATTACAATACCCTACATTATAAATGTTACAGAACCTACAGAACAATTGATAATATATATGAATTTGGTCAATATATTATTATTCACAATGAAAATCCTACAAAAATACAACAGTAAGGTATCATTACTTGTTAGATAGGATTAGCAATAAAAGTAAAGGTCATAAAACTTGGCACAATAATAAAATCACCATTGAATGAAATATTCAATTTCTCAAAGGTAAACCTCCTCAAATTGAAGGGGAGAAAATAGACAATACAAACAACAATACAAACAAGTGTTTAATAATTAAAAATAACAAAACAGACAATAGAATAATAAGAACAGACAACAATGATACAGACAACACTAATCCTAATAAAAAAGGAAAAGTAGTAGAACTAATGGACTTAATGGACAACAAAGTTAAATTAACCAAAAAAGAAGTAGAACCTAAACTACATTGATTGGAACAGAAACAGAAACTGACAGAATGTGCTATTGAGCTTGAACAATGTATGGAGAATAAACATGTAACAAAATGTATGTATACACTTAGTGAAAAGGATAAAGATAATATTATCATTCATTTAACAGAATTTAATACTAAAATAAGTGAAATACAATTGGATCTGACTTCATTTTATGAAGCAATCCAATGTCCAGATCATGATTCATAGATTACAGCTATGAAAGACAAAATAAAACAATTAGAAAATTATAATACATAGGAAATCACAAATCCATATGATAATATTAACATTATTGGAACACAATTTGTCTATAAAATAAAGCAATACACTGACAATAGTATAGAAAAATACAAAGCACAATTAGTAGTTTAAGGAAACTATCAGATTAACAGCCTTAACTATCATATAGACAATTTATTTGCTTCTACTGCTAGACTATCTACAGTACAATTAATATTAGTATGGGTAGCATCTAATAATTATGAAATACATTAGATAGATATAAAATTGGCATATCTGTATGGACAATTGATGGAAGACAAAGAAATATATGTTAAACCTCCTCTAGGTAACTTAATAGACAAATTACAGAATGGACAAATATTACAATTACAAAAAGTGCTATACAGATTAAAACAAGCTAGTAGAAGATGGTATAAAACACTATCTAATATACTACTTAAATACAGATTAACGAAATCCAAACATGATAACACTGTATTCTTTGTAAAGAAGAAAGAAATAACTGTAACCATATTATTTGTACATATTGACAATATTACTATTGTAGCAATGAATAATAATACTATTACAATAATAAAACAATCTATTACATGTTATTTACAATATACAGACAGTAGCAAATTACACTAGCTACTTAGTATAGAGATTCAACACAACAGAGAGTATAGATTCATTAGGATGTATCAGACACATTATATTAATAGTATAATAGAATGTTACAAACTTACAAACAAACAAAGTGTACAAACACTTATACAGCCTAGTACACAATTAAAAACAGTATTGCAAACTAATAACAATAGAGAACAAATGTCTGATATACTATACATAAACATGGTTAGTGTACTTAGATACATTACAGACTGTACACAGTCAGATATAGTATTTACAACAAATCAGTTAGCTAAATACCTTAATGACCCTAGTATAGAGTATTATCTAGTACTTAAACATTGTTACATGTACTTAAAAACTACAAACAATGTCTGGCTCCAACTTAGTAGTACAAATCAATCAATATTGAACAGATATACAGACACAGACAGTATAATGCAAGAAGGGTATTGTACAATATCAGGATATACATTTTACTTAAGTAATTCATTAGTTTTGTAGTCAAGTAAAAGACAAACACTGGTGGCAAATTCAATGTATGAAGCTAAATTAATAGCTCTTGTAAGAGGAACACAAGAAGCAATTACACTTACTCATTTAGCTGAAGAGATTCTGCAGGTCTCTGATACACCAATTAATATCTATTGTAATAACAATACTGTTATATGAATGGTTACATTAGACAAACTCAAATATTCAGAACAAACAAAGTATTTAGATTATAAGAAAGATTTTATTAAATACTACATTGAGTTAGAGTACATAAATGCAAAATACATACAGACAAACAATCAACAAGCAGATATATTAACTAAAGCACTATATGTACCACAAGTCAAACATCTTACTAGTTTACTCAGACTAGTAAGAGTTTGAAGGGGAGTATTATGAGATGATTAGTTTATCAACAGACAAACCACAAGATGATGACTTCATAATGTCTCAGTTAGAATACATACAATATAAGGACGAGAGACACTGAGCAGTCAATCATCACCTCACCCCTTGTCTATGTGTGCCCCCCTTAAGTTTTCCCTTTTAACAGTTCCTTTCATTTAGTAGCTGTATATTGTATACAGGCATATACAGTCTGTATTATACAGACTAAATACGGTTACGGCCTGTAAAATACGTACCGTATTTTTGAGTCAAAATTTTTATACGGATACAGTACGGCACCGTATACGAAAATGCCGTATCTGTATAATACGGTACAGGACCGAGCCCTATTCCTATTCTCGTTCGGCTAGAGAATGAAATAATTTGTGATTGCCGCATTGAAGGATCAACTGATTGCTTGAGGAACGGTAAAGGCGTAGGATAGTCCTCAGCGCATGTCGAAGCCTGCGACTGCGAAGTCGTCTGCCTCCTCACCGGCAGCCGCTTCCTATTCTCCGTCTTCGCACGGTCCAAAAAGCTCGACGTCCCACTTACGCTACCAAATTGCGAAGCGTCCAAATCACCTGGCTCAGTGCCTATCGTGCCTATCGTGCCTATCGTCCAAACAGTCTCGCTCGGCATTACCATCTTGTTCTTCCCCCACGCGCTAACGGGCATGGTATTCATGCGTTTCGCAGTTGTAGACTCGTAATTGGTACAAGCTTTGAACTGAGTCGGATTTGACGCATCGTCCCTCTACTGTCGTTCTTCCATACCTGCGGAACCTCTGGCAGGGGCTGACTTTGTCCTTGAATACCGTCGCACGCCGTTCGGAAGGGTGCCAGATGTGGAAGGTCGAGAACATTGAGCTTCGCAAGTCTTGCTCTTCGTTATCGAGTTATTGGACCCGTCTCTCCATCTGAAGGATGGGTCGTTGGAGATTCATAAACAGTATGTGACACAGCAAAAGTGTCATAAAGATCAGGTGAGTTCTTTGCACTGTAGCAGACGTCAGCGTCGCTTTTCCTGATTTTGATTTGACACGGGTCAGTAGATTCTATGGTAGTAGTCAAGTGTCATTATTTTCTTGCTTCGTAAAAAAAATGTGGTGAATAGACTCATACCTTCACTGTCTCCAGCTCCTTCTTCTCCTGAGCTCCCAACACCCACGTACCCATAGAAATCTCCTGCCCAGAGCACCTAGTCTTGCCTTTCCATCTCCCGAATTAGCTCTTGCTTTCTATAACGGCAATAGTGGTGGAGGCCAGAAACTCGATACCAGCAGGAACTTAGGAACATTCCACTCAACCACAGCATTAGGTAAAGGCAGGAACGAAGGAACCTTTTATCTCCATCCACTGGCACGTCCTTCATATTGTTAACGTTCGAAATGGGTGGGAAGTGGCTGTCTTCAAGCACCTTATCTAGAGTTGTATCATGATCCTGTACAGATTGTCTCTTTTTCTGTACTGTGAATTTGATGACTCTAGTCTGCATTTTGTGTAAGTGTGGTAACAGATGCATTTACACCTGGTACACAGCTCAAGTGCTGCACAACAATTTGCACATGAGTGGCTAGGCTAGGGCAAGTCAGGTTAGATTAGGTAGAGTTAGTGAACCTGTGAGATTGCTGGTAATTGAAGGAAAAATTAAAATTAAGAATATGGATAAAAACGTTGTCAAACGAGCTTGACAGCAATCCATATTCCAGAGCGTTCAGGCCGTACATGTGTGATGGCGGTGATTTCTTGTCCTGTTTAGGACTTTGAGCGAGAGTTCTAGAAGATTACACAATACAGATTTATCCTTTCTTGTTATACAACCCTAAATCGTCCTTACATTAGCATCGATCTATTGTTGCAGCTTCAACGTGTTCCCAGCATGGCCGGACAGTATATAAACGTCTGCCCTCTGCCCTCTGCCCTAACAACATTCCATCTTCCAGTACAAATACTGTCTTCTGCATCAAGTCGTTCACTGCAACATTAGCTATTTACACATTTCCTGCAGGTTTGTCTCTTCATCTATGTACTCTGGTACAAAGAAGTGATAGCAAAGAAGATTCTTAGGCCTGAGGATACTTTGTGTAGAAAATAGCAGATAACACAAGCAGGTTTCGAGAACTAAGGAGTGTTTCAGGTAATGCATCCCTTGAGGCTCGTCTTCTTCACTTCTAACCAAACACGCAGGTTAACTGAAGATAGTTGGAGCCATTGACAAACAGTATTGCAACACCATTCCTACATGGAGTACTACGTGGACCTCGAATTGATTTGTGGTGTACTCCACAACCTGGCATTTAAACACTGGAACCAGTTTGAGCAATCACAGGATCTGGAAGAGCTTGACTTGTCTATTTTCTATGGCCGCATTTCACTTGGACTTTGTCCTGCAGGATATCAGGGTCACTTTGACATATTGATTAAACTTGGAGGGTTTCTTCACATACGATTCGAGCAATATGGGAGAATAGAGGATCTAGAGGATGCTATAGTGCATTGGCATGCTGCCCTGCAGCTTTTCCCCGATGACCATCCCAATCGCTCCACGTTTCTGAGTATCCTTGCGATTTCCCTTCAAGCTAAATTTCAACGGAATGGACAGACTGTAGACCTCGACAAGGCAATTGAACACCATCGTTCTGCCCTGCAACTTCGACCTTACAACCATCCCGATCGCTCTGTGTCTCTAGATAGCCTTGCCACTTCCCTTCAAAGTCGATTTGAGCAGCATGGACGGACTGTGGACCTCAATGAGGCCATTGAACATTATCGCGCTGCCCTGCAACTTCGACCCGACAGCCATCCCGGTCGCTCTGCGTCTCTGAATAACCTTGCGAATTCCCTTCAAGCTCGGTTTAATCATCATGGACGGACTGCAGACCTTGACGAGGCCATTGAGCTGAATCATGCTGCCTTGCAACTCTTCCCCGATGACCATCCCGATCGCTCTAAAAGTCTGAATAACCTTGCAAATTCTCTTACAAGTCGATTTGAGCGGTATGGACAGACTGTGGATCTCAATGAGGCCATTGAGCTAAGTCATGCTGCTCTGCAACTTTGCCCCGAAGGCCATCCCACTCACTCTATGCTTCTGGACAACCTTGCAATTTCCCTTCAAACTCGATTTGGACGGCTTGGACAGACCACAGACCTTGACAGGGCTATTGAGAATCATCATGCTGCCCTGCAACTTCGACCCAATGACCATCCCAAGCGCTCTGCATCCCTGAGTGGTCTTGCCAGTTGTCTTCAAACTCGATTTGAACGATATGGACAGACGGTGGACCTCAATGAGGCCATTGAACATTATCGTGCTGCCCTGCAACTTCAACCCAACAAGCATCCCGATCACTCCGTGCCTCTAAATGGCCTTGCCACTTGCCTTCAAACTCGATTTCGACAGTATGGACAGGCCACAGACCTTGATGAGACCATTGAGCTGGATCGTGCTGCCGTGCGACTTTGCCCTGACGGTCATCCCAATCGCTCTGTGTCTTTGAATGGCCTTGCCTCTTCCCTTCAAACTCGATTTCAACAGTCCGGACAGACTGCAGATCTCGATGAGGCCATTGAGCTGAATCGTGTCGCCCTGCAACTTCGACTCGACGGCAATCATGTTCATGATTCGTTTCTGAATAACCTTGCGGATTCCCTTCGAACTCGATTCAAACAGTATGGACAGGCTGCAGATCTCGACGAGGCCATTGAACATCATCGTGCTGCCCTGCAACTTCGACCTGACGGCCACCCTAATCGTTGCTCGTCTCTGAATAACCTTGCGTTTTGCCTTCAAATTCGATTCGAAAAAGATAGACAGACTGCAGATCTCAGCGAGGCCATTGAACATCATCGTGCTGCCCTGCAACTTCGACCTGACGGCCATCCTAATCGCTTCAGTGCTCTGACTAATCTTGCCTCTTCCCTTCAAATTCGATTTCACGAGCATCAACAGCCTGTGGATCTCGATGAGGCCATTGAACATAGTCGTGCTGTCCTGCAGCTTCTCCCTGACAGCCATCCCAATCGCTCCGAGTCTCTGAGTAACCTTGCACATTGCCTTAAAGCTCGATTTGAACGGTGTGGACAGACTACAGACCTCGATAAGGCCATCGAGCTGAATCGTGCTGCCTTGCAACGTCATCCCGAGAGCCATCCCGAGGGTTCCACATTCCTGAGCAACTTGGCTTTTACATTGCTCTCCCGGTTTGAGAAATTCGGGCTCATCGACAATTTTGAGGAATGTATACAATTGTTGGAACGTGCTACTAAACATGAATCCTCCAGCTTGGTTAACCGACTCGCCGCCGCAAGTAGATGGACGGATGTCGCTCGAAGTCACGCTCACCATACTGCATCTAGAGCTTACAGGGCAGCAATGCTACTTCTCCAACGTGCCCTAATTGTAAGTCCTACTCTTCATGCACAACATGACTTCCTCGGAGAGAAAGGCGAGTACCAAATGCTCGCATTAGATGCAGCGGCCTATGCTATAGAAGGGAAGAGACTGGAGGAGGCAATTGAGATACTTGAGCAGGGAAGAGGTTTACTCTGGTCACAGATGCGTGGTTTTAGGACACCTCTAGATCGCCTTGCAGGAACAAATAGAGGGCTCGCAGACAGGTTCAGGGATGTCAGTCGGCAGCTGGAGAACCTTGTAACATCTAAAGCGTCGCAGCTTGATTCGAGCGCAACCGGAAGCGAGGCATCATCATTGGACGCGAATAGAGAACGGATTTTGTTCGAGGAGAGGTTGAAGAGGAAGAGGAAGCTCTCTGGCGAACAGGAAGAGCTTATCAATGAGATACGTCGAATCCCTGGTTTCGAGGATTTTCTTACAACTACGCCATTTAAAGTACTTCAGGAGGCAGCTTCAGAGGGTCCGGTGATTGTAGTCAACCTTAGTCAATATCGATCTGACGCACTCATTGTCCTCTCCCGAGAAGACTTACCGGTTGTCTGTGTACCATTAGATGGAGAATTCTACGAAGACAGCATCGATTTGTGCAACGAGCTCTTGAGAACACGAAGACGTTTTAAAGTTTTCTCATTGGAATATGACGAGGTGCTTCGCCGAGTAATGAAGATGTTATGGGATAGGGTCGTCTCCAAAGTCGTCAAGAAACTTGACGAGCTGAGGATTCCCAAGGGGGCGCGGATTTGGTGGTGCCCTACGTATGCGCTTTCTGCTCTTCCCTTCCATGCAGCAGGGCCATTCGAGGATGCGGATGGCACTGTGAAGTATTTATTGAACGACTACGTGTCATCGTATACTCCGGCGCTTGGGGCTCTCATCAGTGCTCGTCCGAAAGAAAACGAGGGTGACCCTGCAATGCTTATCGTTGGCGACACCGTATCTCTTAGCTCGACTGAAAAGGAGATTCGTGCCGTACGGAATCATACTCGGAGCTACATTTCGTCTCCCACAATATTTCTGAATGAGAGAGCGTGTCGCGACAAGGTAATTAAACGCCTCCAGAAAGTCACATGGATCCATTTTGCTTGCCATGGCCATTTGGGGTCACTTGACGCTTCTTTCCAGCTCTCTGACGGGGGCTTGACATTGCTCGATATTATCCGAGCTGACCTTCCGAACGCCGAGTTTGCATTCCTCTCTGCTTGTCACACTGCGGAAAGGGGTGACGCAACTGAAGAAGACCTCCACTTATCCGCTGCCGTACAATTCTGTGGTTTTCGAAGCGTGATCGGGACAATGTGGGAAATGTACGATGCGGATGGTCCTCTGCTCGCGAAAGAGGTTTATTCATACATGGGAGAGTATGAAGATGGTGAGGTGATACATAAGCGATCTGCAGCCGCGCTTCGCAAAGCTGTTTTGAAATTACGGGAGGATGGTGTCACGACTGAGCGATGGGTTAACTTGATACACATTGGTGCTTGATTGACGTATGAAATTATGCTTCATTTTGTCAGCAGCTAATCTGCTTGACTGGTGTGTTCAGTTCTTCTCAAAATTTCAAAATTTATGTAGCTGATCTATGCATTGACTCCTGTAGATCCTGACGTGTTTCCTGTATTGCATTGAATAACGGCCCGTTGCTTTATAGAACATAGTTGTGTAATTATTTTGAACGGATAGACGCTATCCTTTCTGCATCTCTTTTATTCATGCGTTGTAATCTAATATGTCATCATTTCCTTTATAAAAAAAGAACTCGGTTATCGTCTATAAAGAACAACACGATAAGAAAACAGGGCAGTAAAACAGCGAATACTAATAGCAATCCACAGTAAAAGCACAATCCTCCAAGTGAACAATATAGACAACAATGGGAAGAAAGGTCCTAGAAAAAGATCGTCACAGAGAATATGCGTAATCATGAGTCCGGTGCTCTAAAAATCTGTAGCAGGACCTCAGTTAGTTACATTACTCTGCATGAATCACAAAGATAAGGGGGCCACAACACACCTTGATAGTCCCACTCTTCAAATCCTCAAACCGATAACTCACGTACTCCACAGTCTGAATCCCGACATGCTGATTCGCCTGATACACCCTCACCTTACTCTTCCTCGCCTCAAACTCGCCGATCACACCAACAACCGGATCTCCCTTCGTACCTAATTCCTCTTGATAACTCGAATGTAGCGGTCCTCTTACACCCTTGAACAATGCGTTTTGTAAAACGATGATGTCTCCGGGCAGGATTTCCGCGTAACGTTTGTGTACTGTTTGGGCAGTTTGGAAGTAGATGAGGTGGCCGTACGGGTAACGTGCTGTACGGGAGGGAATGCATGCGGACGGGACTTGACGTGCGACGGAGAGGACGAAACCTGGGTATGTGCCGTCTCCTACGAGAACCCGACGGGATTTATCGTGTAGAAGAGCTGCAGCGTCAGACATGTACACGCCTACTCTACCCCATAAGTCCAGAAGATCGTCGCTGGAGAGACGTGCGCTCTTCGGATTTGCGGTATTCGCGTTCTCGCTTCCTGAGCTGGGTTGCAAAGATATTGGTGGGGCAAGGGAGATGGTGCCGCCTGGTAAGGACTTGGAGGTACTAGCTGTACCGGAACTCTTTGATCCTGTAGTGTAAGTTCCCGTAGTACCTGTTGTACCAGTAACTCCGGAGACGGAACGGCTGTGCTGCATGGAAGGCGCAAGTGGTACGCTCGGCGCAGTCGTCGCCGGAGCACTTGACGGTCCGCCCTTCTCTCTCCTTCCATTCTCTCGACCGTTCGTTTTCGTTAAATCAACCGTACTCGGGAAATTCAACGATCCACTTGGGATCCTAGGCAAGTCCCACTCCGCCCGAGGGATATCAAACTCCTCTGGTTCCTCTACAAGTACAAAGTCTCCGCTTATCGTACTCAAAGGTCGCTCGGCCGCTTCGAGTGTTGCGGCGCGCATCTCTGTTATAAGTGATATCTTGCGCGTGGGTGGACCGCCTGTCGCCGTCACTTGACTTCCTGTCCGCGCTCGGCTGGAGAACGAAATAGTCTGCGATCGCCGCGGTAAAGGATCTGCAGATCGCTTGAGGAAAGGTAAAGGCATAGGGAGGTCCTCAACAAATCGCGAAGCCTGCGATTGCGACGTCGTCTGCCTCCTCGCCTGCGGCCGTTTCCCATTCTCCGTCTTTGCACGGTCCAACAAGTTCGACATCCCGCTCACGCTACCAAATTGCGAAGTGTCCAAATCACCCGGCTCAGTGCCTATCGTGCCTATCGTACCGACGGTCTCACTCGACATCACCATCTTGTTCTTCCCCCACGCGCTAACGGGCATGGTATTCATGCGTTTCGCAGCTGTGATTGGCAAGAGTTTCGAGCTGAGTCGGATTTGACGCATTGTACCTCCGCCGTCGTTTTTCCATACCTGCGGAACCTGTGGTGCAGACTGGCTTTGTCCTTGAGTTCCCTCACCTGCAGTCAGAAACGGTGCGGGACGTGGAAGGTCGACAGCATCGAGCTTCGCGAGCCTGGCTCTTCGTTGTCGAGCAATCGGATCCGTCTCGTCGTCTGACGAATGAATCTCTGCAGACTCGGAAACGGTGTGCGATACAGTCGAGGCATCATTAATATCAGGTGAACTCTTCGAGAATACAGCTGCGATGGCAGATGTTAGCGTCGCTTTTCTTGATTTTGATTTGACGCGGGGGTCGGTGGATTCTACGAAAAAAAATACTTCAGCTTTAATTTCTTTCTCATTTTTGTATGAAAAATGGCTAATAGAACTCGTACCTTCGTCATCTCCATCTCCTTCCTCTTCTGAGCTCTCATGCCCACGCATACTATTGAAACTCATAGAGCTCTCCTCCGCCTCGCCCAGTGTGCCTAACCTCGCCTTCCCAGTATCAACAGTCGCTTTCTTCGGCGGCAACGGTGGTGGAGGCGGGAAGCTCGAAACAGGTGGAAACCTCGGATCATCCCATTCGCCCGCCGCCGCAGTAGGTAAAGGCTGGAACGAAGGCGGAGGAGGGAACCGACTATCATCATCCACATCCTTCTTGTCATTTACGTTCATAATTGCGGGGAAACGACTATCTTCAAGTGTCGTATCTAAAGTCGTATCATGATCATGAGCAAGTGTCTCTTCTTCTAAACTATGCATTTGGTGACTTTGGTCTGCGCTCTGCGCGAGTGTGGTGACAGACGCGTTTGCACTTGGTACGGCTGAGGTGTTACGTGACCATTTAGATGCGAGTGGATAATGGAAGTCGGGTTTGATTGGTGGAGTTGGTGGACCGGGAGCTGAGTCAAATAATAAAAAAATCATATATAAGATATAAATATTAAAAATAAGGATAAAAATAAACTTACATTCATTCCTCGACCTCGCACTCTTGAAACTCGAAAGTCTCCCATCCTCAGAGGACGAATCGTCTCCACCGCTTTCTTCATCGTCCTCATCCGGCGAATCATCTCCCTCTACGTTGATCTGTGCATCACCAGTCTCATCGACGTCACTCATCTCCTCGGGCTCTTGGACGACGATGCGACCGCTTAGAATACCTTCTGCGCCACTATCGTATTCTCCTCCTGCAGTCACCTCCTCATGCCCAGTATGCTCCTCGACGGGAGGTGGTAATGGTGGAACTGCGCGATGAGGTCGTCTCGGTTTCGGCTCTTCCTCCGCTTGCACTTGTTCCGCGTCACTACCCGACTCTTCAGGCGGTGGAGGCGGCGGACGTGAAGGCGGAAGAGAAAGCCTCTTCCTAGAAGTACCAGTCTTTTCAGGAACAGGAGGTTCTTCGTATGCAGGAGGTGAAGAAGTATCCGGAGAGACAGTGGGAGATCCCTCTTGCGATTCGACTGGAGGCGGTGGTGGTGGACGCTGAGGCGGGATGGAAAGTCTTTTCGAAGGAGTTTGAGTATCGGTCTTTTCAGATACACTTGATCCCTCCGATGGTGCAGAAGGAGGGGTCGGGATCGAGGGAAGGGAGGAATCCTTCTCACTTTGCGGAACGGGAGGAGGCGGTGAAGGTGAAAACGCTTTTTCAGATTTCGGAGTTGGGATAGTTGGGAGGAAAGCGGCCTCGACCTTTTCTTCCGCAGGCGGTGTCAACGAAGCTTCAATTGTAGATGCTAGAGCAGCAACAGAAACAGGAAGAGATGGTGGAGGTGGAGTCGACGGTGCAGTTACGAACAACTCGCTAGCAGTAGTAGAAACGTCGGTGGTAACAGAACCTGCTTTCGCGCTTTTCGCCTTCAGAGTAATCATAGATGACAGAGCAGCTTTCAATTCTGCTGGAGGTGTCGGCGTTTTACTCCGTCCTTCATCGTTATTTTCCTCGGTATTCTTGCTGAACACGCTCGTTTCACTCGTCTCCCGACGGCCTTGTGCCCTCTTTGCCTTGGCAGCAAACACCGACGCAAGTTCGCTCTGCAAATCCGCAGAAGGTGTCGGACTCGTACTCCTAGCCCTCCCTGTATTCTCAACTCTGTCCCTACTTGCCTCCCTAGCAGGAGACTTACTACTCCCATTCTTCGACTTCCCACCCCAAATCGACGAAAGTTGCGTTTTCAAATCCGCAGATTGCGTTGGACTCGTACTCCTACTCCTCCCTTCATTCGTATCCTTCGCAAATCGCGCATGAATCTCGCCATTAATCTTGTTAGTTTCTTCATCCACGGTTTTCGTAGAGTGCATCGACCCTCTCTTTCTCTGTCCCTTCGGCGTACCAGGCAACCCAGGCGATCCAGGCGACCCAGGAGGTGAGAACTGTAACGTCGCCTCTAACGATCTCGCAATCTGCGATACGGAATTCCTCCGCTCAGGCGTCTCTATCCCCGTATTGTTACTATTAGCAGCGTCATTATTATGATTGTTATAGTTAGAAATAGACGGAGGCTTGGAACCACTAGCGGCCGTTGCGCCCTGCACAAGTGCTGCTTTCAAGAGGGGAGTAATGGAGGAGGAAGAGCCTTGACGGTCGTGTGTCATTTTGCGTTTTGGATGTTGGAGAGAGGCTGGTTTGGGCTTGATTGGTGGTGGTGGGGAGGTTGCTCGACGGACGGACTTGGGAGGTGTAACGTCTCCATCCACTGAGTTGACACCTGATGTTTCCTGAGAGACACTGGAATCGTATTTGGGTGTTTGAGGCGTAGAGAAAGAGTTTATGGTGTTGTTCCGCTTGAGAGTCATCTGTGTATGCGCGATTATATTATCCAAAACAGGTGGAGACGACGAGGAAGGTTCAGTCGCACTCCTCGCATGTACCGGACTCGTCGCAGACGTGGATTGTCTTCTCGCAGGAGGTGCACGGTAGATCGTCGAGTTGGTCGTTGTCGATGGAGGAGTCGGCAGAGGCGGAGCAGGAGGAGGCGGAGGAGCCGAAGTCATAGACGTCGGCGATTTCACCTCATCCTCATCCTCCTTCTCATTGTCGTCGTTCACATCGCTCTGCGCAGTGATCCAAGTACCCGTCGTCGTTGATGAGCTCGTCGGCAAACCAGATAGTTTCGTTGTTTCGTGAGTTTCAGGTTGAGCGACAGTAATTTCTTGACCCTCGTCATTTTGCTCCCGTTCCCGTTCTCGCTCCTCCTTCTCTTGTTCCTCCCGCTCCTGTTCTTGTTTCTGTTCGATATCGATCTCGTCGTCTGACTTTGGCGGCGTCGGTGGAGGCGGCAAGTTCTCCTTCTCCTTCGCCTTGTTCGCCTTACCCTGTTTCGACCTCGATTTCTTCACTTTCGGCGGCATTATAATTTCCCACTCTCTACAATTCAACTCGTCAAGAGCAATACAAGCAGCAAGTAACCGCCGCCGTCCTTAAAGTTTCGCGTGTCTCCAGCACCGAATGCACGTCGTTATCGATATATCTAGCTAGTCAGTCGAGGTAGTCGAGGTAGTCGTGTGGGTAGAAGTTGTCGTTCCCACCGAGGATTTGAGTGTTGTGCGCTGTACGTGTCTGCCGTCCGCGTGTGCCGCGCTGCCTCATGGCGTCCCTTTTTCTCTTCGTTATTTTTCAGGGTATTTATTCCTCTCGTCTTCTTCTCATCAATGTTCTTCATACTGTATTTACACAAGAAAATACACAGTACTATTCAATGATTCACGTTCCAAATCCCTAAAATCGAAAAGAAAAGGGAAAATCCAAAAAATCCAAGATTGTACACTGTCTATGTTAACTAACCCCTTTCTTAAAAAGTACACATAGATTATCGACATTTAATTTCTTAGAATCATCCCACACATATACAGCTCATCGCTCATCCGCTCATTTACCACCCTTCCCACTCTTCCCATCCCTATGCTCTTTTCCCGACTTCGGAACACGCTCATGCGCATGAGACTCCTCTAATTCACCCTCATCGTCGACTTTCTTAAGCTCATCAGCAGCCTCCGTAATGTCAATCGAGTGATTTTCCGCTTCTTCTAGTGTCGTGGACACGTCACCTGGCTTTGAGAGGTCGACAACAGGGACAGCTGCTGCTTCCTCTGTCTTCGTTGGCAGCGCATCGGGACTATGATTATGAACGTCTTTCCCTTTCTTCGCGTCCTCGGTCTCTTGGCTGGCTATTTTGGGCGGTAAAGGAGGCGGCGCCGTTTCCTCTTCTTGCTCTTGAACTTCAAGGTCCTCCTCTGGCTCTGGTTCGTCATCGCTCGGTGGAGGGGCCTCTGCTTCAGAGTCTGCCTCGGCGTGGAGGTCTTCCGAAGCTTCGACGTCAACTGGGATTGGTCTGGCCGCGGGAACAGCGTCAGCATCACTTTCCACCTCAGCTCGATCCTGCTCCTGTTCTGGCTCTTCCTCCTCCTGTTCCTGTACAGGTCTAGGCGCAGCGAACGGGTTGATCCCACCCGACTTGGCAATCCGATCCGCGATACGTTTCCTCCGCGCAGCAGCTTCTTCTTCCGTCTCTTCAGCCGCTGGCACCTCCTCTTCCTCTTCCTCATGACGTTGTTCGACAGGAGGCTCTTCTTCCTCTAGCTTCTTCTCGTCCCGTTCTGCAGTTTCCAAAGGCGTTGCGCTTGCGCTTTCTTCTGTAGGTACAGGTGGTAACTCGCCTAATGGTGCACCAGGAGACTTTGGTGGACGACGACGCGGTGGAGCTGCACGTCGCGGGCCACTCGGGACGGGCATTGATGTTGGAGGGCTGCGTGCGGAGGATCCAGACTCGGCAGAAAGAAGGGACGTTTCGGATGGAGCTGATATTATTATTAAAAATACATGTAATTAGCACGCATATATGGACGTAAAATGAACGGTTGCTTACCACTTGGTATGTCAATCTTTGTTGGAGCCTCGGATGCGGATGGCTCATCTGGACTTTCAGCGGGTTCTTTGACGGTCGCTAATTATAAATAAATAGTTACATTGTCAGCATCAGTGTCAGCATTGACATCAATGAAATGCAGACTTACGTTGTGATGATGACGAAGGAGTCGCACGCGGCTTCGGCGCAAAGACAGGCGGGCCCATACCGATACGCGCACCGCCCAGCCGCGCCATTCGAGCAGCAATCGCAGCCCGACGTTTCCTCTCTTCCTCCTCGGGGTTTTCTTCACCTTCAGCAGCAGATTCGCTTTCTTGTCCAGGTGAAGATGGCTTGTCGGCATCACTAACTTCAGGCGCACTCTCACCACCTTCAGCATCACTCGCAGCAGATATGGGTGACTTCACACTCGCTAGTGGAGATACTATCACATCTTGATCACTCCCTCCTTCGTTTTCAGCAGGGGAGACAGGTGCTGGAGGAGGCTTCCACTTCGGTCTATCACCCGCAGGTCTCGGTGCAGGCACAGGAGCAGCAGGCGCTGGCGCACCAAACGCACCACGTCCCTGAAGTGCAGCCATACGCTCCTTAAGACTCATCCCACCCATACCAATGCTCTCCTTCGCATCCGCATGATGCCCTTCTCCTCCTTCCGCATTCACAGGTGGAGGAGGGGGCGAGGACTGTCTCGGTTTCCATTGAATATGTCCTGGTTTGGGACGAGGAGCAGGTGCAGGAGGTGCATTTGAGGCTGGTTTCTGCTCGAATGCTGCGATTCGGTCGCGTAGTGAGCCTGGCTTGGGTTTGGGTGGTGGAGATTCGTCGGACATCGCGATTAAGCTCTGATTTATGTGCTTGTTATCGTCGTCGTTGGCTGTGAAAGAGGTGAGAATAGGGCACTGCGGTCGTCGTGGTCGTCGTCAAGCTCGCTCGCTGTTCAGTGTACGCGCTGAATAGGCGTGGGTCGGTCAGGTGACTAGATTATGTCAGCTTTCTATTACTCAATCATCTCTGAGCGTGATTCATTGCTCACCCCAATATCTCAAACTACAGGCCTGTAAAAGTTACATTTCCACTACATAGAAAATATGAAAGACATTCCATGCAAGGAATCAATTGAGTAGACCATAAAGCTAGGCTTAGCCAAGGAGTATATACACAATAAAAGTGTTTTCTATGTGCCTGCAGCTTGTGCCTCTGCATGGATATTTTCCTCGTGACCATGTGCACTATTGGCAGAGCTACTGGCCCTGACCAAGGCATCAGTGGACCAGAAAATCACAGCTTAAAATGTCTGTTGGTCTCAGGACATGTCACCTCCACCTCAGATTTTGTCCACAGAGCTCTGTCTGTAGACCAAAGACATTAATATTCTAGTAGACACTGTCATCAGCTTCTGACTTGGTCTGTGCACAGTTTACCTATGCGTCAGTGTAGCCTTGCTTGCCTTGTGGCTGCCCCTCAGGGTTTATAAGTAGCCCTGCTATCTCAGATGGATGGGTACCCAACTTTCCTTTGCCCACCATACACACATCTATTTCACCCAAGATGAACCTTTTCTGTACAGAAGCGACCCGATCCTACATGGATATGATACATGAGGCGACGGGTTCTTACCCCAACCTAGAACCTGAAATCAAAATTGAAGTGAGCATCATCCTACTACTTGATTAGACATCTTGGTTTCTGAACTGCTGAGGTTTATAGCCTGGTGACTACAGCAGAGTTGATAGTATTACTGGTGGTTTTGCCAAAGAAGGCAATGTATACTAGGATCCAGTGACTGTGAAAATCGCAGAAAACCTTAAGCCTGTTGAAAAGTCTGTGAAAGAAGACAAGATGGTTATGTCCAAAAAGGCTTTGATTATAGACCCTAACAATACAGAGGGACTGTATGTATCTTCTATTCTATCTTGAGTTTATTTCTCAAAGTTGTAATGTTTAGTAATAACTATTTACCTCCTAATGCCTCAAACAAGCATCATGTTGTATTTACTGGTAGTAAAGGTGCTACTATCTACATTCAGCAGGAGAGCACAATTTCCATACTAGATAAGCTGCTTAATTTGCTTACAAATGATTCTAAGAGTGTAGCTCTCCTTAAAAACAAGGACATTATAGTATCTGTTAATGTTTCTTCCTGCTACACTACAGTGACCTTTAAGAGCAGTAGTATGTCATGCCTTCCTTCTCTAAGAATTATTGATATAGATTACATATTACAGGACTCTGAGTTGGTAGAAAAGCCTACCTAGTTATATTTGAGAAGACAACAGAGTCTCCTGTCCTAGGAAGTATTATTTTAGGGAACAGGATCAACTTTGACTAAGGGTCTGAAGGAATCTACTATCCTCTTTATAGAACAACCAATGTGAAAAATATTCAGAGAGAAGTAGATGAGAGTCATTCTGTAACAAAGTTCCTCTAGAGAGGTTAATGACTCATGGATTGAATGAGATAAAAATAGAGTATGTGTTAGTAACAGTATAGAGGGGACCTGAAGGCTCAGTAAGGGGACCCAGGCTACAACTATTCTACACAACAGAAATATGGAACACAAGTACTAGAACATAGTCAGAACTTGTAGAACAAACATAGAGAGAGAGTAAGACAAGAGTAGAGTATATAGAGTAAGTCTAAGAGTACAGGACTACCTAGAGTAGACAAGATTAAGACTATAGGACTGGTCTGATCTTGTACACCTATATATACTAAACTATACAAGAGTACTTAGAGAGTATGAGCTATTAAGAATAATAAGCTATAAAGAATGAAAGAAAGGAAGGTCAAAGATAAAGGTACAAAGAATGAAGGGATGGACAAAGGGTAAGAGACTATAGAATGAACAAAGAATGAAAGGGTGGTTAAAGGAATGGGATGATAAAGTAAGGAGGGGTAGTAGTAAGAGTCAGTATGTATATAGTCTATAAACAGTACTTCTAAGGGATAGAAGTCCTGAGTTCTAGTACAGAAGGGTGTAGAACCCTTAGAACTAAAGGTATAAGAGTAGAGAACTATAACATTACCCCTCCTCTAAAACCAATTGTCCTGATTAGTAAACATTAGGTTTGGTTAGTGACTCAAGTATAGGTCAGAACAGTAGGGTTTAGAAATCTGTAAGACAGAGTTAATGTAGAGCACCCAGATAAAGTTAATAGAAGTCTTGAATCACCTTAGTAGTATAGGTAAGATTCTTAGCAGGTTCCTAAGTGTATTCTTCAACTGAGTATTCTTTCTAGTAAATAAGGAACTTGAGTTTTCTGTATACTAGCTTAGTATTTACTATATACTCTACTTTGTATTCTAGTTTGGAACCAATGAGTTCTAGTAGAGGTAGTAGAAGTCTTTATTATAAAGGAAAACTCAGATCATAGTACTAAGACAATAGAACCTTGTTAAACACTAGGTGTATGTACTTCTATATTGTTAGAAGCTAGAGTTTGTAGGTAGAGGTACTAACCTTCTTTTTAATAATAAAGAGTCTAAAGCACTTGTTGTCCAACTTCTTTATTAGGCAATTCATAGTCAGATTAGTAGCTTCTAGTATAACTTTGTTACTAGGCTAGTAATCCTTGGTTACAGACCTCTTCCAATCATAGTTCTACTTTATAACTTACACTACCTTCTCTAAAAGAGCTTGTGTGTCCTTTCTAGTCTTGTGTATCTGTTCTGTAAAGTCTGTTACAGATTCAGAACTACTGTTCCAGTTTAGAACTGTCCCCTAGTATGAATGTCTCTTATAGTTGAGGAAGAACAGAGACTGTCTTGTTACAGAGTGTTACTAGTTATTATACACAAATTCTGTTAAAGCTAACCATTCAGACTAGTCTGACTATTAATAATTGATGAACATTTGGAGATAGAGTTTGATCTTCTAATTAACTCACTCAGTTTAACTATCAGTCTGTGAGTAATATGTAGTAGAAGGATTCCCTTAAATTCTGAGAAGTGTGTACAAGTTCTGTATGAATTTTAACTCAAATTACAGTCTATAATTGTGAATGAGCTTTTAAGAGAGTCTGTACAACTGGAAGACATAATCCTAATAAATGTGTACTATACTTTCAGAAGTGAGTTCTATTCAGGTTAGAACTATATAGACTTACTTAGAGAATCAGTCAACAATTATACAGATAGTGTTGTAACTCTAAGACTTGAGTAGCTTACTAATCAGGTCTACTAAGACTTTTTCCTAAGAGTAATCCAGAATCTGATGTAGATGTAGAGGAGCCTAAACCCTTGTCTAGTAGGCCTTAGTCTGTTAGTATGTATTATAACTAGTTACATACTTTAGGATTTCCCTCTACATTCCTAGCTACTAATAGTTCTAAGTAATAAGTTCCTACATTTTGTGTTAGCTCAGATGTTCTGTAGTCAGATTGTTATAATAAGCTCAGACAATGTTCTCCTACAGCTTTTAATTCTTTAGAACATACAGTCAGCCTTCCTAGTAAACTTGTCCATTCTTATCCTCCTCCTAGTTCCTAACCTACTTTTCTAACTACTTTACTACAACCTGGTCCTGTGTGTGTCTTAGAGCTTACTGTATACAAGTAACAAAGTCAACATTCTTAAATTCAAGTCAGATCTCTTAGATTGTCTTGAACACAAAATGAGAATTGTCTAGGAGAACAAGATTTTCATTATTATTCTCCCCCCTTTCATAACCTACTTGTCTTGAGAGTAAATCAGCTTTCATTATTTGTATTCTAGGTTTGTAAGTTAGTATAAAGTTATAGTTTTACAGTTCTAACATTTAACAGGCCTAGTAGTAGTTGAGCTTCTGAGGTACCTAGAAGTACTAGAGATTAAAGTAATCACTCTAAATCTTAAACTTTTGTATAACACTAAGGAGATATTAATACTACTCCTCTAGGGAACAGACAATTGTAAGGAGTTCCTTGTTATAGATAGAGTAGTTCTGTTCTGTTACAGAGAGGGATTCTGATTGGAACACTATTAGACACTACTTTCTGTTAATAAACTAGGATAGTACTACTTTATTCACAAAGTCAGAAGAGTTAGCTTCAACTCAGAACTTGTTTACAACTGTTAGAACTACTAATACAGGCTTACTAGTAATAGTCTACTTGAGAGACTCAAACACAGACTATTACTAATCCCTCTATTACTAAGGAACATCTTTGCTAGTAAGATTATGAAGGGGCTAGACAATAGTACTAAAGTCTCAAATGAAGTATTAGTAGTAGTTCACAAACCTAAGGAATACTTAGACCTGTTTCAGGTTCTAAGATTGTAACTAGTTCTAAACTGTAGTTACCTTTACTAGATCTATACAAACCTCTCCTCTACTGATTATGAAGCCTAGATAATCTACTGACTCTTGTGTAAAAGAACACTTTACTTCTTAGAGAAACAGTTTATTACCTTAGAGCTACTATAGAACTACTCAGATTAGTTAGTAATAATACTCAACTGTCTGAGTAAAGATTAGAATGTTGTCTAAATACATACTAACATACTCTAAGTCAATCAGATCTGTAAGAATGTAATTCATGAATGACTAGAACATTGTAGACAAGTTAGTTAGTCTAAAAAACATTATGGTTGGTTTGTACAATCTATAATTAGTTTAGAACACAGTCTTCTACTTATCTCTGTCTTAGATCCAAATATTATTGTATCCTTATCAAATGTCTAACTTAGTAAAAACCCTAAATGTATGTATCTTATTAATAAGCTCCTGAATTAGAGGGAGTAGGTACTTGTTTTTAATAGTACCTTTATTAAGGTAATAATAATCCTGGACTAGGTAGAGCTTTCTATCTTTCTTTTTGACAAAGAAGAAAGGGGAGGCTATAGAGGACTTTAAGGGTCAGATCCAGCTATTCTAAAGATTTTCCTGAAGGAACTCATTGAGTGTCTCCTACTTGTCTCTGTTAAGCAGGTA